AAAAAAAAAAAAAAAAAAAAAAAAAAAAAAAAAAAAAAAAAAAAAAAAAAAAAAAAAAAAAAAAAAAATCTCGAATAGACTTGGACGTCCAAGTCTCTACCTGATGTGTAAGACTTTAGCTTTCCCTAAAGGCTGATTATTATAATCATGAGTAAACTGATGACGCCACATGGTTGGAAAAAATATGGCCGTGGCCGAGTTAAATTTCACCTTCATTTTACTGGTTACTTTCATATTGCTGGTTTTCTTCTTCTGTTATCCCTGGAAGCTCGTGGTTGTTATGGCTCTGCATACCAAGTATCACTTATTCGCTAAACAAAAACCATTGATGAAGCAGAATCTGAGATGGATTATCTTGATAGTTGGCTTCTTCCTGTTGGGTAACTTATTTCTTAGTCTGAAAGCCAACATGACAAAGATAGCCAAATATGCCTTATAAACATTGAACTCTTTCTCTTTTTTGACAATTGGGTAATTGGGAAGTCAAAAGTTAAATCTTCTAACCAATTTAAATCATGAAAGGTACAAATCATCCAAATGGAAAAATCCAAAAGTTACCCAAATTTTGGATACAATTGTGTATTTTCCTGAATCATTTTCGGGATTTATTCATATTTCAAAAGAAAAAGAAACGTGTTATAGCGAGTAGTCTAGTAACTTTTTTTTCTCTTCTACAAAATGTAAATGAGTAGCACAGAGAAGGTCTTAGATAAGTGTTTGAAGGGAACGATGAAAAAGTCATGGAGATTATCTTCGATTGCATACCCAAGGTGCCCACTGATTCCAATTCACTTCTTTCTTGAACCCCAAATGAGGAAACTGGAATCCCATTCCCCATCTACCCGATTGGTCCTGCAATATCCTATTTTGAACTTGAAAAGGAACCTCAAGTAGCTAATAATGAAGGATAGAGCAAATGTTTTCACCTTGTTTTTTACTTTTAGCTAATAATTAATTGTAAAAGAAGAAATATCAAAGATTGTCCAAAGGTTCATCGATCTTAGCAGCTCCGAGGGAACACAAATGAAGGATAGAGCCAAAAAGCTAAAAGAAACCTGGATGAATTTATAAGGAGTATTTCACAAGGAGACAACAAATAGGATGGATTTCATCTACTCTATTCAGTCTAATACTCGAGATTCTCAACCCAAAGCTCTCGACCCATAGTGTTCTGATTGTATGATAATGTATTGAACCGAGTGGATTTTCTCTTCACTGCCAAGGGTAGCACCATCTTATAAAATAATGTAGGTATAATTTATTAATATGAGAAAGGTTTGGTGTAAGAATTATGCTATGGAATAAGTTATTAGTTTACAAGAATAAGTTGTGGAAGCAGATTATATACTGTGTTTCATTTTCATTGTAACCTTACTTGAGAAAATGATGAGATCATGAGCTCACGACCTGACCTACGACCACAGTGATATCATCAAGTTTTCCCCCTGTTCAGAGGGAAAGAGCAAGTTACCTACCAATGAAAATATAATGGGAAGTTAGCTTACATTATATGAGTAAATTCTTTACCTGTAAGCTTCATTCCCAGTATTTTTTTCCAGAAAGGAACATCATAACCCTGTGAGGATTCAATGTGAAAGAAACAAAAGACATCCATTATAAGGAAGTCAATACAGAAAGTGAAAACCAACACATAAGAAGTATTAGCTGGGAAAGGATTTTACCTTTGATCTAGCCTCCAATGAATACGGTGATTCAAAGGTTTTATCCGCTGAATGACTATTTGCAAGGTTAGCTAATGCCTTAGCTAGCATTCAAAAGATAAATCAATAATGGTCAGGCCGATTGAATGATTGAGATCAACCTTACAGCAGATAGAAAACCAGATACCACATACCAGCCTCACCAACATCAACGTATTTGGTTGCGATTGCAACAATCTCATGGTCAAAAACATTATCGAATAGTCCATCGGATCCCATTACTAAAATATCTCCCTCCATTAGCTCCACGTTGCTAACCTGTTACAATATCAAAACATGATATATCTGTTGATTTTTATGACCATCGAACAAGGCAGGTATTGGTCAAAGGAAGTGGTAAAGTAACCAGATAACCAGGTCTAAAAGAGAACCATATAACACCGAAATCTCATGGCATAATCTCTAATTTATTATTTTTTCATGTAAATTTTGAAATACATAGTCCAACATCTGGGGGAGATCATTGGTCATATACATAAGATATAATTGGTCGTATGCATAAGATGATCACAGAAATAAAACAACTTGTCTTCTCCATTTCAGTTATCAAGTTCAAACTTTCTCACTAGAATACTATGTAAAGATAAGAATCACTTCTTTTGAATAGTAACTTCATTACTATTTTATCATTTCTCCATCATTTTCCTGAGAACTTTGCAGTAGGAACAACAGAGTTATGTAGAAGTTGACAGCAACATAAATGTAAAAATAGGAACATCATAAAGATAAACATAATCAGGAGTTTTTTTTTAAGAAAACAGTCCAAGTAAAGTTGAAACATTTTCACAATTATACTTCAAATAAATCAATATAGTTACAGAAAATCATCATACCTTGGCATCGAGGAATGTCTGGCCAACCCGTTCTGAGCTCAGTTGATACGGGCAGTCAAAGTAATGCTCTTGTGGGGACGTGGAAAATATAATTTGACCTAAGAAAACCGTGTTTATGTTTATCTAAAAAATTGAAGATTCTGAAGTGTTGAAGAAGGATGGAAAAGTAAATTAAACATGACAGGTACCTTTACGAATGACCTTTAATCCACAATCTCCAACATTAGCAATTTTCAGCTTGCCATTCCTCTCCATCATTGCAACAATTCTGCCCATACCAATGAAATCTAAGGTAAACAACACTACCATTAATTCAAATATTTACCAGAACATAAAACATAAAGGTTGCAGGGTGCGTATTTAATATGGAACATATCTAGACTTTTAGAAGGGTTGGAAAATTTACACAGTAGCTGAACCAGTTGCAGAGGTAGAAGCATGTGCCTTCCTCAAAAGAATCTGGGGGTCGTTATTAACCTGCAAATTAGCACATCATAGACTAGTCAATTACTGGAAAATGAGATGGAAAGAAACACCACATATTCCAACAACAAAAAACTACAATGGTAATCAAACTCTTTCAATGGTCCAACTTCTTAAGAATTCATAAACCATACAAGCAGTTAAGTTTTTAGATGATACAACCTCATCGTCATTCCCCACCAAATCTGAAGCATTAGCCAAAAATTCTCGAGGAAATAAAGCAGGATCCACATTTTCTTTAGCCCAACTAGCCAAGAAAAAGATACAAGAACAATCATAATCGAACAATATAGGAAATACCTTTCAGCATGAAGGAAAATGCTAATGGAAATACACTTATCTCCACGAAAAAATAATATGAAAATTATACCATACCCAGAGACACCATCAGCAACAGCAATAACTCCTCCCGAGTAGCTACTGACAAAGAAAGCATCCTCCCCTCCTGTGAGTGCCTTCAAGCACACGGGAAAAGTAAGAAAGTTAGCAACAGGGAATGAGCATTTTATTAGCTCAAGTTAGCGATTGGAAGAGTATTGCAGCCCACACTCACCTTGTTAGGGTGTGGAATGAGATGAGTTCCAACGCACAAGGATACCTCTGATCTAAAATAAAGAAGATTAACAGAAATTGCTCAGAAATTAGCATTAGGACTTGAAGGAAGAAGCCTAAATAAAAAATTATGTCATACAAATAAATCAAATGGTAGCGCAATTCGTTATCATCAGGTGGAGTGGGACAACAAAGCGATTACCTAAAATCCGAACAACAAAAAGAGTCGAAATATTTGTGTACGCGTATATGCATTAAGAAGTTCAAAGGAAAACGAACACACCATCCACGAAAATCTCAATTCACTCAACAAGCAAAGAGCTCCGGAGAAAAGGATTCAAGCTTCAATTCGGAAAAGAGATGATGACAACGCATTCGACACTTGAAGCGATAATGATTCAAAAAATAGTGAAACGAAAAATTCGATAAGAAAACAGAATTAAACATACCGAACATTGTCGAGATGAGGCGGCGCACAGTAGAGCAAATTCCTTCTCTTCGAACATTGAGAGAATCTTGAAAGAGAAAAGGAAGGGAAACGAATGATTGGTTGAGACTGAGGAACTGAGACGTGGAGGGCGAGTGCCGCCATTTCCCGCTTCCACCTCTCCCCCCTCTCACCCCTCAAGAAACGAGAGCCAGATTTTGTGGCTTCGATTCATATTTGTTTGGGTTCAGACAAATATGAGTTTATTTCGTTTTTAGTAAGCACCACGGTCTAGTGATAGAATAAATCATGCTTCGCAACAGACCCAGTTTCGACTCCCGACTGTTGCATTTTTTTTTATCTATTTAAATTATTTTCCATTTTCAAAATATGACTGGTCGGACTCTGATCTGATGCTTTACCGCCGAATGCCTGGATGAATCAGCCATCGTCGGCACTTATCCGGCCACATGAATGCTACTAGATTTTAAGAAGTAGATTGTGGCTGTCACACGACAAGATAGACAAGGGGCGACTCTCAAGTAGCGCCTATCCGGCCATATGAATGCTAAAATAGATAAGTGTCATGATCTGGCCACACCAAGAGTATGCATTCAAGCCAAGCTGAGGCATACACAAGGTTGGAGAAGAGACTGAAGACAAGCTCGATAAGCACAAGGTAGGGTCCTGGGCCATAATCTTAGAAGTCAGGATTTTGATAGAGTTCGTCATGCATCTCTCTAGAGTTAAGTCTGTCTATATGAAAGATAAAAGTTTACCAAATTTTTTGTCAATCAGATATCGGATGGACGCTCCACGTGGTCGCATAACTATTCGCCAAAATGACGAGAGCTCCAGAAGGGTTGGAAATGCCTCAAAATATAATATATAGGTATGTTATTAGTTTTCCAACACCCCTTAAACCTGTGGCCTAAGCAAGCTACATATGTGCCACAGCGTGAGCGATGACCCTATGGCCTAAGCGAGCTACCCTATGGCACGTAAATGCGTCACAACTTGAGCAAGCGTTGCGAGACAAGTATCACATGCATCTTCCTTTTAAATATGTTTTTGAAGGACAATGTCGGACGGTGTGCCAACATCGCGTCACAACCCATGTGTCAGAGATTTGATTATACACCCTCTATCTAAAACGGATTCCATAAATGATTTAGCATGAACACGAGAGGGTCCAATGCCTCGATAGAATTCGAACAGATAGATGTTGGGATCTCTCGATTAGATGAAAGACACATGGGCTAGTTCTTATAGATATGTCCGTTGAACTCAAATTTCAACTTATTTTGCATATTATTACTAATGGAAAACTTCAAGTACATAAAGATTAATCTCATGCACTGTTCAGAAACTTGCAGCAATAATAGAACAAATTGCAACGTCTGAACGCATAAGAAGCAGCTGAACACACAAAGCATTGATGCAGACATCATCATCAAGCTCCAATATTCTCAATATCAGCACTTTTGTCCATTCTCTTCACAATCCCAGCTATAATCTGTTCACAAAATACATTTTCCCAAATAAGATCACAAAGGTAGGCTTAGAATTGGCGTAGAGTTTCATACCTTTCCAGGACCCAATTCATAGCTCTTTCTCAGCCCCTTGTTGAGAAGAGTTTTCAGTGTTGTTTCCCACTGAACAGGACAAGTCATCTGTAGAGTTACAAGAATTTAAACCTTAAACCTCAAAGTATACGTATTGGTATTTAATCTTTGCTATTTGTTTTTATGTTTATCCACCATAAATTTATATCCTTGATAGACATAAAAATGATAAATGGGAAAGGAAGTAGGAAGAGATTTTCACTATAAGCTAAACGGGGCAGGGATAGAGAACGTTGAGCTAATTACGAAAAGATTACGAAGGATGTAACAGCCCTAGCTCACCGCTACAAATATTGTCCTTTTTGGGTTTTTCATTTCGAGCTTCCCCTCAAAGTTTTTAAAACGCGCTAGAGAGAGGTTTCCACACCCTTATAAAGAATATTTCGTTCTTCTCTCTAACCAGTGTGGGATCTCACAATCCACCCCCTTTGAGGCCCAATGTCCTCGCTGGCACTCGTTCCCTTCTCCAATTGATGTGGGACCACCCAATCCACCCTCTTCAGGACCCAGCGTTTTAGATGCACACCGCCTAGTGTCCACCCGCCTTCCAACTTCTTCACTGGCACATTGCCCAGTGTCTAGCTCTAATACCACTTGTAGCAGCTCAAGCTCACTGCTAGTAGATATTGTCTTCTTTGGAGTTTCCCTTTCGAGGCTTTCACATCCTTACAAAGAATGTTTCGTTCTCCTCCCCAGTCAATGTGGGATCTCATAAAGATGTTATTAGTCTTGGTTTAGAAAGTTGAGCTAATTACATGGCGTGCCAATAGTTTCTTTATTGTGTCAGGATCTGCGTGGGGCTGTGCATCAACATTGGAGATTATTGGTATTCTGGGCGTTCTGATATCAGTAGCAGCAAGTGCAGCTTCTAATCTCGAAACGGCAGGTTCCATGAAGCTAGTATGGGGCGCCCCCGCCACAGCTAGCCGAACCTACCATGGAGTTATGCAGCCATTGCCATGTTAGTTCTAACAGAGCTGAAGTACTTGACTTCAAAATTCAAGTTCCATTATCCCGAACGGGACGAAAAATCTCCGTTTAAATGGATCAATACCGTCTTTCGAGCTTTGAATGACTTTGCCTTAGCTTCAACGACTTCTACTCCTTTTAGACCTCCTGATACAACATAATGTCCCTGTGATCATAGGAGACAGTATTAACTAAGCTGATGAAACTTGAAACAAACAGCTTAGAAGAGCCTTACAGGACAGAGGAAATTGGCTATCTGAACTTGGCCAGCTTCATCGACTTCTTGGTTAGCTGAATCACAGAGCTGCTGAACCTTGTCTGAGTCCAATCCTATGACACTCACCATGCCACATTGTGCACTATCAGCAGCTGCCTGAAGGAAGTTATGGTGGCTGGTTGGGTTTCAGTAGCTGAAATCGGAACATCCTGTTAACGAACTCGTTATCGTTACCTGCATTGCCTCCCCCCTTAACTTGACCAGCCCGAGTCCATCCTCAAAACTAAAAATGGAACCAAACCCATTGGCAATCATGTCAGTGTGGAAACAGAATCACCAGAGTCTACATATAAAGATCTAAGATAAGTTCATTTGATGCTATTTACTGGACTGATTATACACCTGAAAGCCCCTGCAAATGTTAATGCGGCGTACTCGCCCAAGCTTAAACCACAAGTGACATCAACAGAATCAATTATTTGTTGGCCTCCATCACGAGCACGAAGTAGCTCAACTGCAGCTAGACTTGTGACGTAGATTGCTGGCTGCAGTTGCACATATATGAATGGTCTCAATAATTAACTACCACTAGCTCATAAGGGGCAAGGCGCTAATAAGATTACCTCGAAGATAAAAGGAAAAGGTAGAGGTGTTCATATGACCTGATCATCCGACCAATCCAGACTACTCAATTCAAATCATAAAAATTCAGTTGGGTTGTGAACTCTATTTAGGTTGTTCGGTTCACTAACCTAACCTAACCAACCCAACCCGTATGCACCCCTTGCAAAAGGTTAAACTTCTCGAAAACGGGCCTTTTGACAAGAGAAGATTGAATGGATCAAGATAAAGTACCTGACTTATAATAGCTGAATCTAGTTTTTCCTTTGGCCCATTAGTGCAGAGATCAAGAAGATCAAACCTGCAAACAAAGATGAAACAACATTACATCTCATGGGCAATCCCTCCATTGACTGTTAGTCTAAGGGGAGGGTCAACTCTCTAAGTATGGTTGACCATGAACTAAAGTCGATGCAAGGACTAATCCAAGATGGAGGAATAATTAATTGGGGACGTACCCTAAAATATCATTAGCTGTCTTGAACAAGTCAGCTGCAGCAGGAACGCTTTGAGATTCCTTTCCCATTCCCACAGCTTGTGCACCCTGAGTACTCGAGAGTGAAGAAAGAGAAAAAGAAAAGGAAATCATAACTATTGTCCTTAACCTCGGATGACCTACTCCGAACGGGATGGAAAATCTCCATTTTAACTAAGAATGGGGAAGGTAATATGGAGAGATTTTTCTCCGGTTAATGAGATCGGAGACTGAGATTATATTCTCAGTCCTCGTCTCCGATCCTATCAAATTCTCATCCCACTCACCCATCCCTGCCCCACCTTGTGGACGTCTCTACAATACACTGCTTCTTCTACTCCTTAATCAACTCAATAGAGTTGTCATACAAAGGTAGAGAATACTTATATCTCTTGCTATTTGCTTTTATTTGTACAATGCACCTATGGTCCTACAGTCCGCTTTGACCCGTTGCACACTCTTATAAGCTTCGTTCCTCTCTTCAACCGATGTGAAATCTCATAATTCATCCTCTTGAGGGCCATCAGGATCTCACACAATCCATCCTTTTGGGGGGTCAGCGTCCTCGCTGGCACACCAACCATCGAGATCTCACAATTCATTCCCTTAAAAGCTCAACATCCTTGTTGGTACTCTACCTAGCGTTCGACTTTAATACCATTTGTAACCGTCCAAGCCATTGCTAGTCGATATTGTCTGCTTTGGTCGGTTACATTTCGCCGTTAACCTCACGGTTTTAAAATGTGTCTGGTAGGAGGGACTTCCACGCACTTATAAGAAACGTTTTGTTCCCCTCTCCAACTGAAGTGGGATCTCACAATACAATACGAGACATGATACGACATGATAGGAACACAGTGATATGTCATTTCTAAAAAAATTGAGGACGAACATGCTTGTTAAAATGCATCAATTTCATCAGAAATTTAGATATCAATTTCAACATGAGGACGTCTAATTCTTCTCAAAAACCATTTCTAGTGCATCAAGTAAGCAATACCAAACACACACATACAAAAAAAAGAAGAAGAAACTGACCTGACCAGGGAACAGAAAAGCAAAAGTGGGCTTATAATCCAAGAACAATGAATCATCAATCACCGTCTGCGATCGAACAGAATCGCTCATAAAAACCCTACGTATCAAGAAGTTTGCACCAGTAGAGCTTCGGAATCCATTTCTGAAGCCCATGAAGGAGGCGGAGGCCCTGAAAGAGGAGGAAGCATTGGGAGACAACTTCTTCAGAGAAATTGTGGAGGGGAGAGCGAGAGAATAGGTCATCACGGCAATGAAAATGGAAGCGGGAGATCGGAGGATAAGAAAGCCGAGCAGACGCCATTGTCGAATAAACGGAGGTTTTTTATAGCTCCCTCAAATCTCCATGCGTTTAGCAGACTTCTCCGATGGTAGAGACGATGGAAGATGGAACCAACCCACCCAAACCAGCCAACTATTTAGTATTTTTTTAATTAAATTATTATTTTTTATTTTTTTAAATATTTGAAGATAAAGCGTAATATTAAAAAGTATTTTTATTAATTTAGTCGGATAATTTTTTCATAAACACATATTTCTATTATTCATTTTATAAATAATTTCTATTTTGCCTAATAAATCTAAAAATATTTTATAAATAAAAATATAATATAATTTTAAAAAATACAAATAGAATTTAGTCACAGTTTTCAAAAATGATATCACATTATACCAAATTAATTTAACTAATTAAAATGAATTAATTATGCCATAATTATAATTAAGTTTGTTTAACGTATTAATATTTAATTGATTATAGTTTTAATATGGCTTGGTCGTAACAATTTAACATGTTAATCAATCAATTAATTACCATTAATGTATTATAATTAAATATTTAATTATATTAACTGAGTACTTTACTACCCATTGATTTTAATACAGCCTTAATTTAATGCTAACTTACTAATTAACTTAAATTAGTTAATTAAATAGTATTACTAATTAACCTAGAATTTATTATTGGAGTATAGTTAAAACTATTTAAATAATTTAATTTAATAAAAGTAAAATAACTAACCCAATTAATTACCTAAAATTAAATAGTCTAATTAAATTTTTGAGAAGTAGGGGAGATAATAACCAAAAAAAATTATTTATTTATATAAAATTTTAATAGTATTATCATGTAATGTTAAACAGACAGAATTATTGGATATTTTATTCACGATCATCTTATTCTCAAATATTTTAATCAAAACTTTAAAAAATGTTATGTAATTTCATATAATAAAGTAATTTCAACCATTTTACTGCCAATTAACTTAACTAATTTACCCTACTAATTAAATTTTAATTTAATTTTCATTAATAACCTTATACGATAGGTTTTGAGTTTATTTTGTAATAAATTGTAATAATTTCCTCAACTAAATGTTTTTAATAAAATTATATAAATATTTAGTCATGTTTCAAAAATAGGGTAAATTATGTTAAATATGATATACTCATCAATCTTATATCATTAAAATAATTAGTTTTAATTTAATTTTCATTCAATTTAAAAATTTTGAGCTTGTTTTAAGATCTATAATAATTTTAATAAAATTATATAAAAATAATAATTATAAATAGATCAAAAATCAAATAATAAATCTGTTTGAGTAAATTATTTCAAGCACGGACAGAAGACATTTTTTTTTTTGTCTAAAAGAGGTGGATGGGGTCGGACAAAGATTGGCTTTCACGTGCAAAGAAAGCCTTCTCTTATTAGACGAATCCAATTTTCATTTCCATCGAATTTAACCATTATTTTTTATAAATTTTTGTTTTTAACGGTTTTGGTCCGATAAATGCATGATGAATACCGCCAAAATTGAAGGTTGAAAATAGATTATTCATAAAATCAATAAATTACCTATTTTACCAAAAACGTGGGTTCTATAATAATCAATTTATTATTACTAAATACACTTCTATTTTTAATTAATGAAAAAATATATATATTAGGAGAATTTATTTTATTGTTAATTCTAATAAAAATATAATTTAAAATTAATTAAATAAAGTCAACAGAAATTTGGTGGGAGAGGGTTTTACTGACAGGTAAACAGAGAAATACAGGAAATAAAACGAGTGAGAGTAAACAATAAAGTAAAAAGGTAAAAAGGTTAAAAAGTAAAAAACGTAAAAAAAAAAAAACTAAGGCATGCAGTGGATTGACAGAACTCTTGGAAAGTGCTTTTTTACAGTGAAATAAGGCCTTTCCCCTTCTCTCTTCCTTCATGCGTCACCTTCCATCTCTGAAGCTCCATTATTACGTTCGGGTTGGTCGGGTTGGTCGAGTCAGTTACTTAAATAACTTAGGTAACAACCGAACACAAACCTTTAGTTCATTAGATTGCTACAAAAAAAAATCTATTTATTCACGATATATACATCACTTTAAAAACTAAAATCTCATAAAATTCAAATATCAAACATTAGATTGATCAGTAAATCAACCAAAATCGTTTCATCATTTATGATTTGAGTTAGATAATTAAGATCATTGAACATCTCAATCATTACAATAGAAAATTTAAGGATTACGAGGGTAAGAAGAAGAATGCAACGACATAATCGACCCATTTAGAATAACTTTTCAAATGTTTAAAGAAAAACGCTTTTTATTGAAACGTTAACGAGAGACTATGAAAGGAAGAGGAAGAGAAAGAAGAAGACGAGCGAGTAAGAAGAAGCTATGAAACTCAGGATGGATAGCGCCATTGAAAGGTGCAGTGATATTATTGATACTCATAATCAACGAACCATGGCGCTATCCCTCCTGAGCTTTACAGAGTCTCCCATACTAAACCCTCTCTCTCTCTCTCTCTCTCATTTCTTTTGCTTTCCTGGCTTGGCTGCACACACCCAGGCTAACCCCAAACCCTTATTTATAGCCCTAAATTTTATTTTATTTTATTTTATTTATTTAAATTAATATTGAGAAAAAAATAAAAAAAAATAAAAAAAAATCAAGTTAAATTATAATGAGATAATTTGGAAACTAATTTAAGTTGCATTTATTTTTATTTTTTAAAACTATTATTATTATTATTATTATTACCTGTTTAATGCTTTTATATCAAATTTTCCATAAGAAGATCAGGTGAAGACTTTGTCAGTAACTTATTTATGAATTTTTACTGAATAGGAGAGGGGAGTAGTTGAATTCTTTTTTTTTTACTGTTCTTGTCGTGTTTATTTTTTTCTATTTCTACGAAAATGAATTAGAGTAAAAAAAAAAAAAAAAACACGTTTAACTTTGTCGGGGCCAAATATCAAAGATCGTATAAAATATCTCACTCTAACGCCTTATGTCTAACCTAGAATTTAGATCAAGAATCGATATTCATAAATCAACGACAGGTCATTTCAGTTTTTTTTTTATTACTTTCATTCAAATGATTTTTAAGAAAATTCTCCGAAAGTGGTCTCTGTTCCTTCTAATGTCATTTTATGTCTTTCTTAATTATCCTAATTTTAAATTTAGTGTTACTCGAACGTAGACTCTATTCATTCATTTAACGCTTAAATTTAGTGGACTCGAACGTGGCCCCTCGGACCCTTTTTCCGTGCAAAGAAATTGTGCATTTAAGTGTTGCAGTGCACTTTAAGGTGTGATCTGAACCCCAAAACATATCTGTATTAAAGAAAAAGGGTGTGTTTGTGCTGCTTCCAATTCCATTTCCAAACAGGTCAAACTTTTTCAGTACTGTCTTAGATTTTCTGTCCCTTTTTTCTTCTCTTTTTCTCACCTTTTTAGTCTCTATTTTCCCCCTTTTTTGTTACTTTTTCTATTTCATTTCACAATCATACTTGGATTTCAGCCACTACCACCACATGTTGTTCGCTAGTCAAACGCTCTGAACTAACCCAAGTGTTCGCTAACCATGGTTACTCTTTGGTTCGATTTGTATCTAGATACGGTTCGTTCTGTGGTTAAGAATACCCAACTTCTCGTAACTGATGTGAGATCCCACATTAGTTGGAGATGGGAATGAAATATTTTAAACTCGTGAGATTGATAATGATGCGTAATGGTTCTAAGTGAAAAGTATGTACTAGTGGTGGACTTGGGCTTATCACAAATGGTATCAGAGTTAGTCACTAGGTGGTGTGTAGATAAGAACGTTAGCCTCTAAGGGGGTGGATTGTGAAATCTCATATTGGTTGGAGAGAGAACGAAACATTCCTTCTAAGAGTGTGGAAATCTTTCCCTAATAGACGCGTTTTAAACTCGTGAGACTAACGATAGTAAGTAATGGGCCAAAACGGATAGTATCTGCTAGCAGTGAATTTGAGTTTTCACAAATTGTATCAGAGCTAGCCACTGAGCGGTGTGACAGTAAGACGCTAGCCTCCAAGGGGAGTGGATTGTGAAATCTCACATTGGTTTGAGAGAGAACAAAACATTCATTATAAGAGTGTGAAAATCTTTCCCTAATAGACGCGTTTTAAACTCGTGAGACTGACGACAGTAAGTAACGAACCAAAACAGATAGTATCTGCTAGCAGTGAATTTGGGTTATCATAAATTGTATCATAGCTAGCCACCGAGCGGTGTGACAATGAAGACACTAGCCTCCAAGAGGGGTGGGTCCACATTGGTTGGAGAGGGAACGAAACATTCCTTATAATAGTATGAAAATCTTTCCCTAATAGACGCGTTTTAAACCCGTGAGACAAACGACAGTATATAACGGGCCAAAACAGATAGTATCTGCTAACAGTGGACTTGGGTTATCACAAATTGTATCAGAGCAAGCCATTGGACGGTGCGATAGTGATGACACTAGCCTCCAAGAGGGGTGAATTGTGAAATTCGCACATTGGTTGGAGAGGGAACGAAACATTTCTTATAAGAGTACTTCAATCTTTTTCTAATAGACATGTTTTAAACTCGTGAGACTGACGACAGTACATAACAGGCTAAAACGGATAGTATCTACTAGCAGTGAACGGACTTAGATTATCACAAATTGTATCAAAGCTAGCCACCGAGCAGTGCGATAGTGAAGACGCTAGACTCCAAGGTAGAAATTAAAATGTAAAAGTTTAGAAGATAGGGTAAGAGAAAAATTAATGAATTGAAAGGGGAGAAAGTCAAATGAAGGGTCGTGAGTGGGCAGCGGTTAAAGGCTACTTTACAATGTCGGCAAAGGCCCTGCCCCTGCCCCTGCCCGCCTGTCACATCGGTTAAAATAATGGAATCGATATCCTCAATATTTCACAATATTTAATGTTAATTATATTCCAAATTTAATATTATTAATTTCAACTATTTTAAATAACAATTTTATTATTCTTTTTTAATTATATTCTTCTTTTTTTTTTCTAACTACAAATTCTAATTTTAATAATTATCATTATTTTCAACCCACTAAAAATATTTAATAAACTTAAATTACTCATTGGTTGAATTTTCT